CTTGAAAATATAATTTGATGATTTTTAGTTGACTTACTATAGAGTTACAGATGTAGAGAAACCGTAAACATTAGTTTTTGTTCATCTTGCTTGCTCTAGGGTCAAAGGAATAGGTGTTGATTCAGGTAGTTGAATAACTTGATCAGGCCACACCATTTACAGGAAGAGCCTCACATCTAACTTGAATCTCTTATTTACCAATTTATACTTCTGTGTCTTTCTTCTCTCTCCTTTTTCCATTCACAATCCCCCCCCGCCAAAAAAATATATCAGTTCAGCTCTTGAACTGTTGTAGGCATTGAGGTTAACAAGAGTGGAAAAACCAGAGAAAATTCCCTGCCCTCATGAGTTTATATTCTAGCTTAATTCTATTCTTTCCACATCACAGGGTTTTTATTTATCCATGATCTGAAAAAGATAAATAATGTAAGTTTAAAATTTTTGATAAAAATATGGTAAGACTTTTAACTTCAGCAGTTAGATAAAATGTATAACAAACATTTGAATTCCTCCACAATTAAGAATGGTCTAGGGGCACCTGGGTGGCTTAAGTCAGCTAACTAAGCATCCAACTTCAGCTCAGGTCATGATCTCACATTTGGTAAGTTTGAGCCCCATGTCAGGCTTTCTGGTGTCAGCGCAGAGCCCACTTTAGATCCCCTCCCTCTCTCTCTGCCCCTACCTGTTCTCTTTCTCAAAAATAAATAAAAATTTTTTAAAAAATGGTCTGTACTGGCAAGGAGAAATTCATCTATATATGGCATATTTTTTACATATTAATGAAGTACTTCTCAATCAATGAATATTCATCTATTCGGTAGATGTGCATATTTTATTAATTCAGTTTTATTAAAATGTGTAAGGAAATACATCTGTGAAAGTAGCTTGCTATTCTTAAATGAAAATTAGGCAGATTCATTAGAGAAAAATTTGGAAAACATAAAGTAGAAGAAGAAAAAAATAAACATTATTTGAAGCCAATCGCTATAATTATTTAAATACATTTTCTTCTAGTCTTGTATCCCTTTGGGCTTTTTCTTAATGTTTGTTTATTTTTATTTTTGAGAGAGACAGAGTACAAGCAGAGAGAGAGAGAGGGAAAGACAGAATCCCAAGCAGGCTCTGAGCTGTCAGTGCAGAGCCCGATGTGCACAAACTATGAGATCATGACCGTCACCGAAATCAAGAGTCAGATGCTTAACTGACTGAGCCACCTAGGTGCTTTCCTTTTGGCTTTTAACACTATTTTAATTTCAGCAGTTAATTTATCAATTAATAATAACAGGTACTATATAGAATAACATAGAATTAAAAATACAGTATACTTAGGTTCTGTCATGAGTATTTTAAGAAAATAAAAAGTACTTTTAATTGATAATTGCTTTAGTCTGGGAGTCTCAATTTCATTGTTATGTACTTTATTGTAGTTGTAACCAAAATTATATTACACTTTGTATCTTTATTTTTTCATTTAGTATTACAAGGTAAGCATTTTTGCATATTATTCTAAGACAGCTTTAATTCTATGTGAATTGATGCTTGATATATAAATAGGTAGCTTTTCATAGTTGGATATTTTATTTATGTATTTGTTTGTTCTACCAATCTGGGGTTAATTGATTGCATATTACACATATTAGTCCTAAATCTTAATTGGTTCCTGGAAGTAAAATTATTGAGTCAAAGAGATTGATAATCATTCTAGTTACTGCACATGAAAGTAAGATATTTGAAGAGTACTGAGCACTTATAAATATGTCAGAGGCCGTATTGTAAGTGATAATTTGAGAAAGGGTCACAGAAATAAATCAGAAAGAAATAGAATCCTTTTCTGTCTTTTCAAGGAAAAATCTAGAATAGAGAGTATTACAGTGATGATAGAGTGAAAGGAACAAGAGGTACATCAAAGCAGCCTTTTAAAAGCCCTGTTATTGTCATAGCACCAGGGGCTATGATAATATAATAGCTGTTGATTCTGATAAACAAAAGCTCTTCTTTTTTTTTAATATCACATAGCATTTCTTCTTATTATTTTTTTCTTACAAATAGTTGATTGTCAAGTTGGTTTCCATATAACACCCAGTGCTCATCCCCACAAGTGCCCCCCTCCATGCCCATCTCCCCCTCCCCCCCCACATCCATTAGTCCTCAGCTTGTTTCTCAGCATTCAAGAGTCTCTCATGGTTTGCCTCTCTCCCTTTCCCCCACTATTTCCCCCCTTCTTCTCCACCATGGTCCTCTGTTAAGTTCCTCCTAATCCTCCTATATGTGCAAACATATGATATTTGTCCTTTTTTGCCTGACTTATTTCGCTCAGCATAACACTCTCAAGGCCCATCCATGTTGCTACACATGGCCAGATTTCATTGTTTCTCATTGCCATGTAGTATTCCATGGTATAGATAAACCACATCTTCTTGAATCATTCGTCCGTGGATGGACACTTAGGCTCTTCCCATGTTTTAGCTATTGTTGAGAGTGTTGCTATGAACATTGGGGTACATGTGCTCCTATGCATCAGCATTTCTGTGTCCCTTGGGTAAATTCCTAGCAGTGTTATTGCTGCATCATAGGGGAGTTCTACTGTTAGTTTCCTGAGGAACCTCCACACTGTTTTCCAGAGGGGCTGCACCAGTTTGCATTCCCACCAACAGTGTAGGAGGGTGCCCGTTTCTCCACATCCTCGCCAGCATCTAGAGGTCTCTGATTTGCTCATTTTAGCCACTCTGACTGGCGTGAGGTGGTATCTCAGTGTGGTTTTGATTTGTATTTCCCTGATGAGGAGGGATGCTGAGCATCGTTTCATGTGTCTGTTGGCCATCTGGATGTCCTCTTTGGAGAAATGTCTGTTCATATCTTCTGCCCATTTCTTCACTGGGTTGTTTGTTTTTCGGGTTTGGAGTTTGGTGAGTTCCTTATAGATTTTGTATATTAACCCTTTATCTGATATGTCCTTTGCAACTATCTTTTCCCATTCCGTTGGTTGCCTATTAGTTTTGTGGGTTGTTTCCTTGGCTGTGCAGAAGCTTTTAATCTTGATGAGGTCCCAACAATTTATTTTTGCTCTTGATTCCCTTGCTTAACAAAAGCTCTTCTGATTAAAAAATAATATATGGAAACTATAAGAGAAAATAAAACCCATCCATTATCCATAAGGCAGAGAGAACCTACTATTTTGGTGCACTTTTTTGTGTATATGTGTGTGTTTTTCAGGGAGGAGAGGATAGAGCGCATAAAATGAGATCATAGTATATGCCTTTGTTATTTTACATAACGTGAACATTTTTTTGTCACTGGTTTTCAATTTATGATATTTGGGTGCTGCATAATATTCCTTTATTATTTTAATTGAAGCATAATTAACATACAGCATTATATCAATTTTAAGTGTACAAGATAATGATTCCACATTTCCATACATTACTCAGTGCTCATTTGATGAACATTTTTATAATTAACTGTGGTACTTTTTATAATGCAATTAGAATAAATACTTGTTTATAATTGGAATTACTTGTTTAAGATTTAGAGAATGCCACTTACAGATATCTGAAATTCATCTGTGCAAGTGGAGTTAGGGTTTATTTTTTAAATTTCTATACCTAAAGTCTCCCTTAGGTCATGTATGATGCTGTATAAACCCAGAGACTTACTTTGGGTTGCAGGTCTCTAAATAACCTTCCTTAGACTAATGTAAGGTGATTAGGCAGCTGAGTTGTGTCACTAACTAAAAGAAATTTTTGGAGTGTCTGGAAACCAATGCTTAAGATTAATTAAGTGTCCATTATGGGTTATCTTATGCTGATCATATGATTACATGGTAGTTTAAACCACTTTCTCAATATATGCATGTTTTCTCTTTCTATCTTGGAGTGCCTCATGGTTCTCTAAGGATTTCCAAACTGCCTGTGTGGACAAAAATGTGCAATCTCATTCACTCAACCTCTCTCTCTCTCTCTCTCTCTCTCTCTCTCTCCCTCCCCCCCACCCCCTTGTTTCTCTGGTTACATATTGTCTCTTCTCTCTGGTAGTCTCCCTGGTCTGAAGTGTTGTAAGATGTTTTCTTCTTCTTTTTGTCACTTCTGACTTTAGTCTTTGTGATTAAAGTAGAAATTAATTCATTTCTGTTGTTAGAATATAGAAAGCATGCCTTTGGCCCAGTGCCTTAATTTCTGAGTCTTCCTTATCCCCATCTTACTTGGGCAACTGAGTACTCTTGATTGGAGATGGTGAACTGTGGAGTTCAGCCCACCAGTGGATGGTGCTCTGAAGTGAAGAGTTGATTTCTGTGTGATTTCCAGAATTTTAGAAAGATAGCCACATTTTACTGCAGTATAGCACTCTTTAGAGAACTGTTGATAGCTTAACAAATCTGCGTCTCCATGTTTTCCCAACTCAGCTCCTTAGGCTCTGTAGTTGTGGATGGGGAGCCCAGGGGGCTGGGCCATGAGGCCCTGTGTAAAGTTTGGATCAGGGAAGAGGGAAAGGCATCCTTGGGGGAATAAGCATGGCCAAGACTGCCTGGAGCACAAGGCTTAGTTGCTGAATAATGTATGTTTAATATATGTCCAATCAGTTCCTGATTTATAAAGACTGTAACAGTAGATCCTTATATATTGCATTCGACTGTCATCTCTACAGAAGCAGCAGAAGAGAGGATGAAACTAAAAGGTCCCCTTTGCTCCTTCTAGTGAGAATGGGAAAAGTTATGATGGCAGAAGATGATGAAACTATTTGTTAAAATGAGATTTTTGTCTTCTCTGTTGCATTTCATTTATTCATACCACTCCAGATTTCTATCAAGAACTTCATTCAGGGTGATGTTACTTTACATATTGTATGGAAGTGTTGTACATTGTTATATGTATCTGGATGGGGTTATATACTCAACCTTTAAATTATGCTACTATATCAATACCATATATGAAACTGAATACAAAAAGTGATTAGAATAAAAATGAGTATAGATACTTGAATACATATCTTATACCATTTTCTAGGGAAAGGTGATGTATTTGGAGACATCTTCTGGAAAGAAACCACCCTTGCTCACGCGTGTGCCAATGTCCGAGCACTGACATACTGTGACCTCCACATCATCAAGCGAGAAGCCTTGCTCAAAGTCCTGGACTTCTACACAGCTTTTGCAAACTCATTCTCAAGAAATCTCACTCTTACCTGCAATCTACGGAAACGGGTATGTTGTGTGCATCCACTTCCCCTTATTCATATCGATAGGGTTAACATGTCATGCTCTATTAGCTGAGGTGTGGAAAAGGTATTTCACTTTGCGCTTGTACATTTTCATTGATTTGAAGTGAATTTTCTTTCCCTTTCTTTACATTTTGTTTCCTTTTTAAGGGGAGGAGGGAGGAAACCCTATGTGGCTAAAGACTTGAATCTTTATAACTTAAAAGTAAAACAAAAGGCAGAATTGAGGAGAAACAAGCATACTGTACTATAATATAATTCGTTCTTGGAGTTTATGATAACTGCGATAAAAATAACATCAGTGCCTCTTACTATATTATGTGGATTTTTTTTAAGTTGGTAAGGTTAATCAAACTGAATGTTTATTTTATATTCCTGACTCTATTTAAACACCCTTTCTCATTTAATGGTCAATTCATAAATCCCATTACCTGTGAATTCTTTCAAAGCACAGTATCTTAAAAAATAATTAGCCACACTGACACATCCTACAAATTGGTGTGGCAATCCTTAACTTTGCACTGCTGCTGCAAATACAGTCTTTGTGGCCATTTTCTTTTTTATTGATGACTGTGACACAAATTTAATTAGCATAAAGAAATCTCCTAGCTATGATTTATAGGTCATTGGACATTGGCTAGGGCCCTTTTATTGCCAAGAATGAAATACACATTTGGATAGCTGCACTTAAGGAATTTCATCTAAAATAATTGCCTGTCTATGGTGCAGTATTTTGAAATAACAAGCCTTCCCTCCCATTTCCCCCTTAAATAGAACTTTCTCTTTATTTAACATGGAGGAGAAAAATCAAGCCATGAGATAAATCAGCATCTCTACGGCAGGGGCACAGAAATGAACGTAAGCAAATCAGTAGAGTTCCCTGCTTGGGGCTCTAAAAGGGGACAGGGCTGCCTGAGTCCTCTTCCTCCTAGCTGTGACACAAGACTGGGTCTACATTTGAATAATATTTTCTGTTTATATTTTTGCTAACAAATGGGTATTGAGCACCCACAACCTCCATGACAAAACGTAAGGAGTTGTTGCAAGCCTGAGGACTAAATAGAATCCCAATGCTTAAGGAGCTTATAGCCGAGTATGACTATTATATGAAACACAAATATGTGAAACACAGGTTTGTACACATAATTGAAAGTGAAGATAGTGATGAATGTGGAACGGGGTGCCAAATATGAACTAAATGTGAAACTTTCTTGCTTATTCGTAAGGGAGTGTAGAGTCTCTTTTAAGCAGAAATAAGTCTTCTTTGGTCCATGCTCTGCCTTCCCCAATGACAAATTCCTTGTCTGCAAAGCGGTCCATTTTATATTTGAAACTCTCATATCTTTTTAAGTCTTCTCCAGTATAACTTTTGCCAGTTTTGGAATCTTCCCACACACCACGAGATCACCAAAACCCCTATCCATTATCATTATGGTCCTCAGGACAGACTTATTTGTCACTGTCCACCTCAAAGCATGTTGTTTACACAGTACCTCATCTGATGTTTATAATATTCCTGTGAAAAAAAGGACCATTATTTTCCCTTCAAAACATATGGGGAAACTCAGGCCAAGAGGGATTTTTAAAAAATTATTATTATTATTATTATTATTTTTACAAATAGTTTATTGTCAAATTAGTTTCCACATAACACCCAGTGCTCATCCCCACAAGTGCCCTCCTCCATGCCCATCCCCCCTCCCCCCACATCCATCAGTCCTCAGTTTTTGTCAGCATTCAAGAGTCTCTCATGGTTTGCCTCTCTCCCTTTCCCCCACCATTTCCGCCCTTCTTCTCCCCCTTGTTCCTCCGTCAAGTTCCTCCTAAACCTCCTATACGTGCACACATATGATATTTGTCCTTCTCTGCCTGACTTATTTCGCTCAGCATAACACCCTCAAGGTCCATCCATGTTGCTACACATGGCCGATTTCATTGTTTCTCATTGCCATGTAGCATTCCATGGTATAGATAAACCACATCTTCTTGATCCATTCGTCCGTGGATGGACACTTAGGCTCTTTCCATGTTTTAGCTATTGTGGAGAGTGCTGCTTTGAACATTGGGGTACATGTGCTCCTATGCATCAGCATTTCTATATCCCTTGGGTAAATTCCTAGCAGTGCTATTGCTGGGTCCTAGGGGAGTTCTATTGTTAGTTTCCTGAGGAACCTCCACACTGGTTTCCAGAGGGGCTGTACCAGTTTACATTCCCACCAACAGTGTAGGAGGATGCCCATTTCTCCACATCCTCGCCAGCATCTAGAGGTCTCTGATGTGCTCATTTTAGCCACTCTGACTGGCGTGAGGTGGTATCTCAGTGTGGTTTTGATTTGTATTTCCCTGATGAGGAGGGATGCTGAGCATCGTTTCATGTGTCTGTTGGCCATCTGGATGTCCTCTTTGGAGAAGTGTCTGTTCATATCTTCTGCCCATTTCTTCACTGGGTTGTTTGTTTTTCGGGTGTGGAGTTTGGTGAGTTCCTTATAGATTCTGGATATTAACCCTTTATCTGATATGTCCTTTGCAACTATCTTTTCCCATTCCGTTGGTTGCCTATTAGTTTTGTGGGTTGTTTCCTTGGCTGTGCAGAAGCTTTTAATCTTGATGAGGTCCCAACAGTTTATTTTTGCTCTTGATTCCCTTGCTTTTGGGGATGTGTCAAGTAAGAAGTTGCTGCGGTGGAGGTCAAGGAGGTTGTTTCCTGCTTTCTCCTCTAGGGTGTTGATAGTTTCCTGTCTCATGTTCAGGTCCTTTAACAGAGGGATTAATATCAAATAACCAACTGATATATTTGTAGTGCATGGTCTCAAAGAGGGATAATTAAGACAGCTCACCAGTAGAAAATAAATTTTGGTTCTCTAAAATGAGTTCATCACAAAGCTCTATCACCTCTTTTTTTTTCTGTTTCACATATCTGAGCATATGTACACCACATGCACACACACCCACAGACTGTTATGACTGCTGAGTGCACACTTGTGTGACTACCTCCCCTAGGAAGAGAGCTAGAGACAGAAAACTGTGTGTGTGTATTCTAATCGGACGTGGGGGTGGTGTTCCCGCCTCTGCAGGTACTGGCACCCAAGTTACATCAAATGGCTTCTTCCCTTTATACTTTGTTACCTGTTACAACCTGTGTCTTTTTTTTTTAAAAATAATTCCAGCCCTTCTTCATTTGATGGATGGTCTCAATAACTTGACAAAGTGTGGGGAGAGGTGTGTTGTCAGTGTCACTTTGTTCTCAGAAAAAATTTTTTTTCCTCAGAGTGCCTGGGTGGCTCAGTTGGTCAAGCATCTGAGTCTTGATTTTGGCTCAGGTCATGATCTTATGGTTTAGTTCTTAGGTTCCAACCCCGACACGGGCTCTATGCTTACAGGACGGAGCCTATTGGAGATTCTCTTTCTCCCACTCTCTTTGCCGCTCCAAAACTTGTGCTCTCTCTCTCAAAAATAATCTTAAAACTTTTTAAAAGTATTCTTATAAAAATAACTGAGAAAATATCCTCCAGTGACTCATGAGAATATCATTTTCAGAGTTTGTTTTATAGCCATGCCCTTCAACCCGCTTTATATATAATAATTGATCTTACGAAATTTCAGTAACTCACAGATGAGGCACCGTGATTTTCATTTCATTGAAGAAAAAGCTGAGGTTCTGGCAAAAGGGACAGCTAGTTACCAATAAATTAAGGGTCAGGGTCTGGATTTGAATCCATCCCTGTCTGATTCTAAAACCCGTCTCTTTAAATGATACCATGTTGCTTTGGAGTCCAACATGGGGTTTGAACTCATGACCCTGAGATCAAGACCTGAGCTGAGATGAAGAGTTGGACACTTAAGCGGCTGAGCCACTCAGGTGAACCTAATAAAAGGGTATTTTGTTCTTATTGCTAATATTGCAAGCATTCTTGCATTGAAGATTTTTTGTGGATTGCACATTTGTTAATTGCATGATCAGAACTATGTCCATAGTATGCTATTGTTATCCCATAGCTATCATAACCATAATTTAAGGGCATATCTCTAGTGAGTTAGGGGAGTGGATTTGGAACCCAGATTTTCAACCATCACAGATTACAGCTCTGGCCACATGAGCACATGTGGTGGTTCAGTGGAGAGGTCTGTATAGTGTGTGGCTCTTGGTGATCACAATAGTGGGGGGGGGTATCAGTGCTTTTGTTGCTTGTCCCCATCTCTGTTATGGGAAAAGAAGATATTTGTTATGCCAACATAGATCCTGCTAACCATCCTTAAGCTCCTCTCTATATAAATTGTAGGTCTAGAACTGGTAATTTCATCCATCAACTGGAGCAGGAGTTGGCCAACTTTGATAAGGATCAGTCAGTAAATATTTTAGGATTTGAGGGCCACAGAATCTCTGTCTCAGTGACTCAGGCTTGCCACTGTGGTGTGAAAGCGGCTCTCTTAGCTTAGGATGCCATAACAAAATACTGTACACTTAAACAACAGGAGTTTACTCCCACAGTTCTTGAGGCCAAGAAGTTCAAGATCAAGATGCGGAGCCCAGCTGGGTACCCCAGTAAGGGCACTTTTCTTCCTGGCTTGCAGACCTCTGCCTTCACTATGTCCTCACATGGATGTGAGTAAGGGACAGAGAAAGGAAGCAAAAGAGAGAGAGAGAGAAAGAGAGAGAGAGAAAGAACGAAAGAAAGAAAGAATGAAAGAAAGAAAGAAAGAAAGAAAGAAAGAAAGAAAGAAAGAAAAAGAAAGAAAGAAAGAAAGAAAGAAAGAAAGAAAGAAAGAAAGAAAGAAAGAAAGAAAGAAAGAAAGAAAGAAAGAAAGAAAAGTTCTCTATCTAGTGCCTCTTATTAGGGCGAAATTCTCATCATGAGGACCTCACCTTCATGGCCTCATCTAAGCTGAATTAGCTCCCCAAAACCTCTTCTTGAAGTATCATATTAGGGGATTAGGACTTCAAGGTACAAGTTCGGGGAGATACAGTTCAGTTCACAGCAGCAGCCAAAGATAGTATGTAAATTAGTGAGCATAGTTGTGCTTTAGCAAAATTTTACCATACAGACAGGTAGCTTCCACGGGCCATAGTGTGTCAATTGCTGGGAAGGACAATGAGAATGCAAATACAATTCTCTACCTTCGTATTAGAAAACAGATACACTGCTTGCCGCTCAGAGGTTATCATGAAATAGAAAATACCATACACGAGAGGTGGCTGCAGAAAGAGGTCAGTAAGATGAATGAGTGAGGCAAGGCTCCCATGGCTGTTGAGACCAGTGTTCATACCATCTCTAAAAGGGGTGGGAGCTACTCAGTCTGGTTACACACTGCCTTGGTAGAACGCCAGCCCGGTGTTGGTTGGTCTGCTTATTATTTTTTCCCCAGAGAAGCCAAATGTACAATTTTTACACAAAATCACGTTAGGTTGGTAACTAATTTGCTTTGCATTTTTTATACAATATGGTCAAACAAAGTGAGTCTGCTTGCTCTCGGTCCAAATGTTTGTGAACGAAATGGAATGAGTTTGTGAACTCTTTTTTTTTTTTTTTAATATTTTTTATTTATTTCTAGGAGAGAGAGAGAGACAGCGTGAGCGGGGAAGGGTCAGAGAGAGAGGGAGTCACAGACTCTGAAACAGGCTCCAGGCTCTGAGCTGGCAGTCAGCACAGAGCGCGACGCGGGGCTCGAACCCACTAACCGCGAGATCATGACCTAAGCGAAAGTCGGATGCTTAACCGACTAAGCCACCCAGGCGCCCCGAGTTTGTGAGCTCTTGATCTCAGGATAGCAGAAGTCTGAAATTTTACCTGAAGCCTATAAATTTGGATAAGGAAAATTATTACATCTTTATTTTCTAAGTGAAATTTAGCTTTTCCTTCAATTATAAAGGTTGGTAATATGCTACAGTATTATTAGTATTATTAAATAGTATTATAATTACTATATATTATTAGTAGTATTATCAAATAGTATTCTTTACCAAAAGAAATTATAGATATTTTCATATTATATTGTATTTGTTGAAGTGCTGAGGCTCAACACTACTTAATAATTATGAAAGTTATTGTAGGCCTACGCCTAGGATCAGGTTATTGCATTAATAAAAAAGCACAGATGACTATTTTGTGAATTATTTTTTTAATATTTTGATAACTGGACCTCTTTTTTTTTTTAATACTTTTATTTATTTTTAGGAGAGAGAGAGAGACAGCGTGAGCAGGGGAGGGTCAGAGAGAGAGGGAGTCACAGACTGAAACAGGCTCCAGGCTCTGAGCTGGCAGTCAGCACGGAGCCCGACGCGGGGCTCGAACCCACGAACCTCGAGATCATGACCTGAGCGAAAGTCGGACGCTTAACTGACTAAGCCACCCAGGCGCCCCGATAACTGGACCTTAATATAATGTTTTTTGTTTTATTTTCAATTCTATATATTTTATTTTGTGCATTTAAAGCAATTTTTCTGAATTGGGGCCTGTTCCACAGGCTTCCCTAGACTGCTGGGGGTCGAGAATCCCCGCACGATAGTCAGAAACTGAGTTACGCTGAACAAAAGGACTGGTTGGTGTATTTTTTTTCCAATAATATGAAAACAATTCCATAGCTTTCAGTAAGTTTAAACATATTCAGACAAGGCACGGAGAGCAACAACAGAAGGTTAGCTCCCTTGCGGACTTAGTTATGTATTTATGTACTTAATTAAGTGAAGCTACAATTTCCTGGAGTGACTAAATGGTGTTTGTTAATTTCTTTTTTAATGTTTATTTCTGAGAGAGAGAAAGCACAAGCAAGGCAGGGGCAGAAAGAGGGGGACAGAGATCTAAAGTGGGCTCTATGCCGATAGCAGCGAATCTGACGTAGGGCTCGAACTCATGAACTGATGATGACCTCAGCCGAAGTCAGGCACTCAACTGACTGAGCCACCTGGTTCCTCAAACAAAATGGTGTTTATTGACCCTCAGGTACAGGTTGAAAAAGCAAGCAGCACACCCAGCACAGGTGATATCTAAGTTGTAAAGGATTTTAATCAGACTGTTTAAGTAATTAGTGCATTTCTGCTCATTCTGCCTAGTTGTGATGCAATGAAGTTTACGGTCTGTGTAAAAAGAGTTAATGTAGCAGGTGTGACTGCTGTGCTTTGCAAGACCTGCTTATAAAGCGGGCTCTTGGCTGGCATCTGGGAACTTGGGTTTCAGGAGGGTTCCCGCCAGGTTAATGGGTGAGAGTGGCTCACTGCGCCTACTCTGTTTATTCAAACAGTGTGGTCTGTGCTAAACATTTACTTATAGCCACATTAAGTGTGGCTAGGATTTTGAGTTATTTCTAAACATTACCTTCACTTTTAAGCTAGCATGCACATGTTTTCCTCCAGATTGACTATTTAGGTGAGTAAGGAGTTTTATTTGCTATTTTTGGTACCTCTTCTGATAAGAACCTCTGACAAAATGTGGCACAGAGAGTATTGGCTGGTTCAGTATATATCAATATGCATCCATCACGCCCCTGCTGCATACCTAGGCAGTCATGGAGATAAAAGACCCAGGGCCTGCTCTCTACGGGCCTGCTGTCTAGCAAGAGTGAAACAAATCCTAACAAAGCCTGATAAATGCTATGACAGGATCACATTCAGGGTACAGAGTGTGTGGGGGGTCATAGAGGAGGTGAATCCAACTCATCCCAGGGAAAGACACAGGGAGGGATTCCAGGAGGTGGTGAGGACGCTGGTGTTAGGATTTCATTTCATTTCGTTTCGTTTCGTTTCGTTTTGTTTCATTTCGTTTCGTTTCATTTCATTTCATTTCATATTTCATTTCATTTCATTCCAGTTGTGACTGTTCATTCCTATTTATTTATATATTTATTTATAGAGCATGAACAGGGGAGGGGCAGTGAGAGAATCTCAAGTAGGCTCCATAGCTCAGCACAGAGTCTGCCTTGGAGCTTAATCTCACCACCGTGAGATCATGACCTGAGCCAAAATCAAGAGTTGGATGCTTAACTGACTGAGCCAACCAGGTGCCCCAGGATTTCATTTTATTTTATTTTATTTTATTTTATTTTTTTTACAAATAGTTTATTGTCAGATTAGTTTCCACATAACACTCAGTGCTCATCCCCAAAGTGCCCTCCTCCATGCCTATCCCCCCCTCCCCCCCACATCCATCAGTCCTCAGTTTTTGTCAGCATTCAAGAGTCTCTCATGGTTTGCCTCTCTCCCTTTCCCCCACCATTTCCGCCCTTCTTCTCCCCCTTGTTCCTCCGTCAAGTTCCTCCTAATCCTCCTATACGTGCAAACATATGATATTTGTCCTTCTCTGCCTGACTTATTTCGCTCAGCATAACACCCTCAAGGTCCATCCATGTTGCTACACATGGCCAGATTTCATTGTTTCTCATTGCCATGTAGTATTCCATGGTATAGATAAACCACATCTTCTTGATCCATTCATCTGTTGATGGACACTTAGGCTCTTTCCATGTTTTAGCTATTGTGGAGAGTGCTGCTATGAACATTGGGGTACATGTGCTCCTATGCCTCAGCATTTCTGTATCCCTTGGGTAAATTCCTAGCAGTGCTATTGCTGGGTCATAAGGGAGTTCTATTGTTAGTTTCCTGAGGAACCTCCACACTGTTTTCCAGAGGGGCTGTACCAGTTTACATTCCCACCAACAGTGTAGGAGGGTGCCCGTTTCTCCACATCCTCGCCAGCATCTAGAGTTCTCTGATTTGCTCATTTTAGCCACTCTGACTGGCGTGAGGTGGTATCTCAGTGTGGTTTTGATTTGTATTTCCCTGATGAGGAGGGATGCTGAGCATCGTTTCATGTGTCTGTTGGCCATCTGGATGTCCTCTTTGGAGAAGTGTCTGTTCATGTCTTCTGCCCATTTCTTCACTGGGTTGTTTGTTTTTCGGGCGTGTAGTTTGGTGAGTTCCTTATAGATTCTGGATATTAACCCTTTATCTGATATGTCATTTGCAACTATCTTTTCCCATTCCGTTGGTTGCCTATTAATTTTCTGGGTTGTTTCCTTGGCTGTGCAGAAGCTTTTAATCTTGATGAGGTCCCAACAGTTTATTTTTGCTCTTGATTCCCTTGCTTTTGGGGATGTGTCAAGTAAGAAGTTGCTGCGGTGGAGGTCAAGGAGGTTGTTTCCTGCTTTCTCCTCTAGGGTGTTGATAGTTTCCTGTCTCACGTTCAGGTCCTTTATCCATTTTGAGTTGATTTTTGTGCATGGTGTGAGAAAATGATCTAGTTTCATTCTTCTGCATGTTGCTGTCCAGTTCTCCCAACACCATCTGTTAAAAAGGCTGTCTTTTTTCCATTGGATATTCTTTCCTGCTTTGTCAAAGATCAGTTGGCTGTATACTTTTGGGTCCACTTCTGAGTTCTCAATTCTGTTCCATTGGTCTATGTGTCTGTTTTTGTGCCAATACCATACTGTCTTGAGGATGACAGCTTTGTAGTAGAGGCTGAAGTCTGGGATGGTGATACCTCCCGTTTTGGTTTTATTTTTCAGTATTACTTTGGCTATTCGGGGTCTTTTGTGGTTCCATACAAATTTTTGGATAGTTTGTTCTAGTTTTGAGAAGTATGCTGGTGCAATTTTGATTGGAATTGCATTGAATGTGTAGAGTGCTTTAGGTAGTAATGACATCTTAACTATATTTATTCTTCCTATCCATGAGCATGGAATGTTTTTCCATTTCTTTGTGTCTTCTTCAATTTCCTTCATAAGTTTTCTATAGTTTTCATCATACAGATCTCTTGTATCCTTGGTTAGGTTTATTCCGAGGTATTTTATGGTTTTTTGTGCAATTGTGAATGGGATCAGTTTCTTGATTTCTCTTTCTGTTGCTTCATTATTGGTGTATAAAAATGCAACCGATTTCTGTACGTTGATTTTGTACCCTGCAACTTGGCTGAATTCTTGGATCAGTTCTAGTAGGCTTCTGGTGGAGTCTGTCGGGTTTTCTATGTAGAGTATCATGTCATCTGCGAAGAGTGAAAGTTTGACTTCCTCTTTGCCAATTCTGATGCCTTTGATTTCCTTTTGTTGTCTGATGGCTGATGCTAGGACTTCCAGCACTATGTTAAACAACAGTGGTGAGAGTGGACATCCCTGTCGTGTTCCTGATCTCAGGGGGAAAGCTCTCAGTTTTTCCCCGTTGAGGATGATGTTAGCTGAAGGCTTCTCATAGATGGCTTTGATGATGTTTAAGTAGGTTCCTTCTATCCCAACTTTCTCGAGAGTCTTTATTAAGAAGGGATGCTGTATTTTGTCAAATGCTTTTTCTGCATCTATTGACAGGATCATATGGTTTTTATCTTTTCTTTTATTGATATGATGTATCACATTGATTGATTTGCGAATGTTGAACCAGCCCTGTAACCCAGGAATGAATCCCACTTGATCTTGGTGGATGATTCTTTTGATATGCTGCTGGATTCGATTTGCAAGGATCTTGTTGAGAATTTTTGCATCCGTATTCATCAAGGATATTGGCCTATAGTTCTCTTTTTTTGCTGGATCTCTGTCTGGCTTGGGAATCAGAGTGATGCTGGCTTCATAAAATGAGTCCGGGAGTTTTCCTTCGACTTCTATTTTTTGGAATAGCTTGAGAAGAATTGGGATTAATTCTGTTTTAAATGTCTGGTAGAATTCCCCAGGGAAACCATCAGGTCCAGGGCTCTTATTTGTTGGGAGATTTTTGATCAGGATTTCATTTTAAACAGAATAATATTCGAGAGGAAGGAACGAGCTTGCAGATCATCTAGTCCAATTTATTTTCTTTATAGGTGAGAAAACTGAGACCCAGGGAATTAAGTGACTTGCTCAGGTTTGCTTACCAAGTAAGCATCAGGGCTGGGATGGGAATCCAAGTCCTTTAAATTCCATGCTGGTGATATTCTTACTAGTTAGCCTAGCTTAAAAGCCTTGTGTAGAAGATTGTAAATAAAATGCAATACTTGACTGTTCATTTTTAACAGGGAAAAAGGAAGGTGAATGGCATGAGTTTGCCTGTGATTATAGACTGATTTTAGTGATTTTCAACCATGATTAGGGATAAAACTAACAACGGAGCTGAAAAACCAGGCTAGAGGCAGTGTTCAGAGTTGTGAACAGGATTCCTGGTCTCAGTATGAGCCAACGTGTGTGGTGTGGCCACAGCGGGTATGCCACCTGTGTTGTGAAGGGTCTCATTTTTAGTAAAAGCCTCTAACCTATGATTTATCAGTATTGTTCAAGAAGTGTTGCTGAATGTGGCAAAATACCGCTTTGCTGATAACACTATGTTTCTACTATACTCTCTGCTATCTTGTCAATACTTTTAAGAATTATAGTGGCTGCCACCCCAGTTAGTATAAGCACATGTAAAAAAGGAAATTCCTCACATTAAACAAAACTCCTATTTTTTACACCATTGTATTTTAAGTTACTTTCTTAAGAGTTGAGTACTTTCACATTAGAAGTTATGGAAAAAAATATTGACAAATTTACTGCCAAAAGTGGCATTTATTAGTACTAAAAATGTTTGTTGACTAAAAAGGGAGAAGAGGGAGAGGAAGGAAGAAAGATTGGAAGAAAGAAATAACAGAAAAATAGGTATTTCCATATAGATTTGGGAAAGTCTGAGACCTGACTGACAGCAGGAAACAGGAGGGAATGAGCTGGTACCAAGAATAATTCTTTGTTAGAAATGAGAACTAAGATAACTGTGTGGTCAGTTCCAAAAAATCAAATGAAAAGATTGCTAACTGAAATTTGAAAAGAAAGCAAAATAGTTAAGACTGAATAAACTTAAAATTGTGTAATAAACTGGGGTTCCCTTTTAAAAACCATATCTATGGGACATCTGGGTGTTTCAGTGGTTAAGCAACTGACTCTTAATTTTGGATCAGATCATAATCTCATGGTTCATGAGTTTGAGTCCCACATCAGGCTCCACACTATAACAGTGTAGAGTCTGCTTGGGGTTCTCTCTCTCTCTCTCTCTCTCTCTCTCTCTCCCTCCCTCCCTCTCCCTCTCTCTCTCTCTCTGTCTCTCTCTGACCCTCCCATGTGCTCTCTTTTTTTAATTTTTTAATGTTTTTTATTTATTTCTGAGAGAGAGAGAGAGAGAAACAGTGTGAGCAGGGGAGGGTCAGAGAGAGAGAGGGAGACACAGAATCCGAAACAGTCTCCAGGCTCTGAGCTAGTTGTCAGCACTGAGCCTGAAGCAGGGCTCGAACCCACGAACCATGAGATCATGGCCTGAACCAAAGTCAGATGCTCAACCGACTGATCCAGCCAGGTGCCTCCCATGTGCTCTATTTCAAAATAAATAAATAAATAAACTTAATAAAAAATTGTTTAAATACCATATCTATTATGTTAATGAGTATAAACCCCTCTTCTGGCTCCAGGTTGAGTGGTCATGGCCAGAGAACTAATGTGTCTTTTCATTCCATGGTTGTGCTGAATTTACTGCTGGTGTCATGAAAATTTTGAAGCCACATGGCTCTAGAGAAAATGTTTCTAGTACATCTACTATTATGTTAGAGTGGATCTCTTTGGACATTGATCAAAAGTGATGCCAAACTGGGGCGCCTGGGTGGCTCAGTCGGTTAAGCCACTCTGTCCCTCCCTTGCTTTCTCTCTCTCTCTCAAAAATAAATAAACTTTAAACAAATTTTTTATAAAGTGATACCAACCTGACACTTGCCCTTAGTTATGTCTCAAAGAAATGCCTCTGTTGTTGCCTTGGAGACCCACCTTGCTCCTAGTTTATGTTCCTTTTTACTGACTATCTGCATAGCTCTTAGTTCAGACACAAGCTAATCTAAGACTTGTTAATATTAATTTATCCCTTGTATTATCTGTTCAGAATGCCATAACAAAATAACACAGACTGGATGGGTAAATTGAAATGTATTGTCTGACAGTCTTCAGGCTAGAAGTTTAAGACCAAAGTGTCAGCAAGGTTGGTGTCTGATGAGAGTTCTGTCCTTGGGATGCAGAGGGTGGCCTTCTTGCTGTGTGCTTATATGGTCTTTCCTCCGTGAAGGAAGTTTCCGTTGTCTCTTCTTAATTCTGTTGGATCAGAGCCCCAACCTTATGACTTCATTGAACCATGATTGTTTCTTTAGAAGCCCCATCTCTACATACAGCCATACTGGGGGTTAGAGCTTAGACATATGATTTGGGAGGAGGACACAACAAGCCTCTTTTTAAAAAAAAAATTAAATGTGAAGGAGTAACTGTGAGAAATATTCTACAGTAAAAACTTACAGCTGAGATAGGTCTGTATTACTGGGGATATGCATTGGCATAAACATTCAGTATTGGCTTCTGTAACTTCTCGGCAGTACATAATTATCAATACTAACAAAATGTTCTTGCTCTCCTACAGTCATTTAATAAAGGATTCCCATTTAAATTTAGAAAAATTTCCCCCAAGAATGATGAATACAAATTGTAAATTGGAAAAACAGAACATAAAAATACTTATTCCTTTCCCCCATACAATCAGGATCCTTTGCCCTAGATGGCAGTGTTCTTAAGTAGAAAGTAATAGAAGGAAACCTGCCATTTTATGGGTGGCTCTGCACCAATCCTGTATTTTAATATTACAGTAGAAAGAAATCGTGGGTTAGGGTCACTCTTGCATTAGCACAGGCCCAGAACTCAGTAACTGTTTTTCTTTCCAAAAAGCATTCTTATCCTGGTGAATCCAGTGACACGGAATGTACTTATTTCTTTGAGCAATGAAGCATCTCTATAACAATTACCTTTTATAGATGGAAAACGGACTGGATTTGGATACTGAACAGGCTTTCAGTACTTGCTTGGTGTACATATATTGCAGACTACTTGTATTTCAGGGGTCAGTACTGGCATTTTTGAAGAAGTAGTCTAGGATTATGAGAAGGGGAATTCCAACTCCACTACTTTCTTTTCCCCCTTTCTCCCACCCTGATATATCAGCTAACGAAATATGGGAATACATTCATTCCATATGCCTACAGGTTTTTTATCCAATTAAAAAGGTATCACTAACACACCATTCACACTTGGAACAGAGGATAATATGGGTCTCCAGAAAACTCTGAAGTATTCCATAGAATCTGTGCCTCTCTCACAGCACTGATTGTGGTACTTGGGTTTCCTATTTACACGTTTGTTTTTTCAATTAAACAATGAGCTCCTTAAAGTAGGTATTTTTCTGTAATCTCTTTAGTGCCAATGACCAGAATTGTGCCTGCTGTGTAACTGAATGAGTGAATGAACAAAAAGTGAGTCTGATATACTTGCCAGCACAATTTTTATCATCACTGACTAATCACTGTCATCCAGAAAAACAAATGATACCCTTGACAATTTTACCCTATTATGAAATAGGAGAATGAAAAGGACCATTACGAAGTAGTGTTAAATCACAATTAGAGTTAACTTCCAGCTGCAGTTTCTAAGCATTTATGCCTGCGGAGTCCACACAGTACAGCCATCTCTCTAGCACTTTCAGAAGACAGCAATGTTGACATCACTATCATGTGAATTAAGATCACCTGATGCCAGGAGCTGTGCTTGTCAGAACAGTGACTTCATCTCATTCAAAAGGACTTTAAAGAACAAACTTTTTTTCCTCCTAGTTTCCTTTGTAGTATCTGTATACACCCTTGAATCTGAGAGCTATTATCATTTTCACTATGTTAGCTGATCATCAGGATCGCAATGCACGTGAACTGCGAGAAAAACTGGCAGTACCCTGTTTACGTGTTGCTGCAGCTTGTAGAACTTTCACATCCAAACTCCTGTAGCCCTCTGCCTTGCCGTTTACATACCATGGAACTTGTCTCATTTGGGCTTCAAATCAACACTGTAGGGAAGTGAGTCCAGAGAGGTGAGGTGACTTGCTTGAGGCCACACAGCTGACTGCTGCTCTGAAGTTCGAGCCTCTAGGATCTCAGCTTCAGGCTGGCACTCGCTCCGCTGATGGTGGTTGAAAGAGGCAGACTTTCAGCAATTCCAGAAGTTTATGGTATGCATTTAGAGGAAGCAGAGACTTAATTATGCAGTCTTTTGATTCCTTAAGCTGCTTCTATTTAGGGCTCTCTTGATCTGCTTCCAGACAGAATAAAAACTTTTCCACATTTAGCTATCAGGACATAGGTTCACAGATCCCTCACTTTTCAGCAATACCTCCAGAGGAGCTATTTAAGGAGTATTTCTCAAGTTTCAGAGTGGGGGCTGACTTCAATAACACACCAACATACTTGAAGGGAGATTATACTGTTTGATAGCTCCCCTTTTCAAAACTAGAGTTTATTTTTGTTGCAAGAAAATATATCTTCTAGTAATAAATGAGGGACATGAATAAGCCTTTAGTATAGGCACAAGAGTATTTAACGTAAGAAATTATAAAATTATAATTTTATAAATTATTTTTCTTAAGAATCCTCAAAGTAGCCAACAGTTCACTTGAAACATTTGATTTTATTTTAGGGCTGAATCCTGCCTTACAATAGTGCCTTTTTAGGGACGTCATAGAGGATACCAGACTGTTCATTTCCATGTGTCAATAGCCACTTCTTAATTCTCAACAATTAACATTTGATGAGAAGGCTCTGGAAGTACAGTGCTATATCATAACATCTTTATTTGTAGGAAAACCCTCCTTCTGAAGGAAATAAAGCAAGGATTTCTATCAATATTAAAACCAAGGGGCACCTGGGTGGCTCAGTTGATTAAGTGTCTGGCTTCAGCTCAGGTCATGATCTCTCGGCTCTTGGGGTCAAGTCCCGTGTCTGGCTCTTTGCTGACAGCTCGGTGCCTGGTGCCTGCTTTGGATTCTGTGTCTCCCTCTCCCTCTGCCCCTCCTGTGCTCACACTCTGTCTGTCTCTCTGCCTCTCAAAAATTAATAAACATTAAAGCAAATTAAAAATATATATATTAAGACAGAAATGTACATAATATTGGCTTCCCTAATTTCTTTATGTATTGATTTGAATTTTGAATATACACAATTTATCCTATACTAATTTCTTATTTATCTTTTTCCTTCTCTGTTATGGAAAAAGAAGTCAATGGATCACCTGTGATTGTATAGATAACATGTATGTAATATAAAATATATACTATATAGTAATAGATATGTATTTTACATACATACATATATATATATATATATAATGTTAACTTTAAATCTGTTTACAGATCTATATTTTAGTATATTTTTAGGCAGAGACCTTTTGGGGTGAGGTTCTTCCCCCAACCCCCAAGATAATATCTAAATTTGATGATACAGTTTGCCCTTATAGGGATTTCTTCCCTTCACTTTTTGAGCTTAATCCACTGACTCAGCTTCTTCTGTTCTCTGAGGAGCCTAAGAAAATCTTGAGCTCAATAGGTATGTATTCAAAAGGTTTCCGTGCTGATTCCAAGTAGCTTTGTAACATTTTACAACAGATTTTGAAAGGCTTTTGGCTATTCAGAGGAGGCGGTTTCAAGATGTTTACAGTGAATTCAGAGAATTCAGACTATTGCCAAAGAAAGTAAAGTAAATATTGTATTAAAACATATCAATTTATGTAGAAAATGAAGCATTTTAGAGCATTATATACATTTTGAAAACAAAATAGAGATCTGCTCTGTAGTCAGATTGAGTTCTTAATAGTTAACTATTATGACCAAAATAATACCTGTCTTCCATCTTCCTGAATGTCTGTTTTTTTCCCCCATCTGAGAGGTGCATTTCATAGATTTTGAGATTCCAATCAAGTGATCTTTCCCCAAAGGAATCAAATCAGGTCATTCTACTAAATAATCAGAGACACTCAGATGACCCAGTGAGGCTATAGTAGTTTCTCCCAGAAAAATTCATTCATTTTCTGCCTCTTCTTTCTGAATCAGGTTATACTTGATTTAACCCAACACTTTTGGAAGTTGACATTTGATTTCACTGGGGTTGGCTCTGTGTCCACCGTTGTATCCTTTAGAGAGTGTTGTCAATCTGCAGTTCAGCACAGGCTCCATCCCTTAGGAAACACAATCTGGAATGCACATTGCAAACTACAAGCTGGAACTGCTCATTTTGTGTGTAGGAAGCAGCCAAATTTCCCTAACAGCAGGGCAAAGAGGTGATACTGGGCACTGGACCCTGGCCAGGAATTCACTTCCCTCTTTTACAGGTACTTTAGCAACTACTTTAAATGTGGTTGTAAATGGCATCATAATCCAAGCATGTGAAATGGGTAATATGTAACACAGGTCCTTTGAAAGTTAGTTTCCTGTGGCAGGAAGATACATACCCCATCTTGAGTGAGAAAATTAGTGTTTCCTAATGTTCAGGAATTCGGAGACCAGGATATCAGATGGCCTACTTAGCCATTATACAGTGCACTGTTGCATGGGGAAGGGCCTGTTGTGCCAGCAAAAAGCAAGCACAAGAGATCAGATCCAACCTACTGGATTTATGATTCCATAAAGTGAGGCTGACTGCCAGCTTGTGAATAGTAGCATATTCACACCTGATGGTCACCAAGTGGCTTGTTAGGGAAATCATCCACTAGGAAGACTTTCTCCACAGGCATTTGGAAGTGGGAGTGGTGGCGTGGAGCAAAGAGAAGTGGCAGGCAGGGCCTCTTTCCCTTTTTCCTAATGCAGCTGACTTCTCCCAAGAAGTCAGCAAAGTCAGCAAAGAAGGTCTTAACATGGATGGTCGTCCTGGTGAGGAAACCAGGAAAGCAGATTTGGATTTGGTAGCTTTGCCAAGGTGAAAAAATCTCTGTTCTGGGGTTCGTAGGACATTGTACTTGGCACATGCCATTTAGAAGGGTGTTTGTAATTGTGAACCAGCAATTCTTTGGAGGTTGAAGACATTAATGAAGCTCAAACAATGAGACAGAGACAGAGAGAGAGAGAACTTTAATAATTTAAAGAACCATCAGGACAAGTCTGTCAGCAAAGCAGACTTGTGACACATGTAATTATATGAGAATGTATCTGATTATTGACGGTAGGCTGTTTTATATACCAAACAGCATATAAGACATTTGAATTTCCAGGTTTGGATAAATTTTATAAAACAGATCAGTCTCTTTCTGGAAGCACAGGTGCCCCCGTCTTTCCCATGGTCAAATATCCATCGCCCAGAAATAAATTTGCCATCAGTGCCATAAGAACTTCTAATTACCCAAGCATTTTTTCCTTTTGTCCAAACCCCTTTCAGAAAAATCTGAGCAGTTTAGGAAACTGCTACTTTCGATTTCAGAGAGTGGCCGGATTCAATAGCGAGGTGTGCTCTAGTGTGTCAAAGATGCAGCTGATTAATTTTGATTCAAGAAGATCAGAGATGCATTTAATATCTCACCAAAATAAAATCGAACTACTGTGAGTGACTAGGGCTGGAGTAAAGACAAACCCTAACCACGCGTAGAGCAACAAACATGGTTATTTTAAATGGAGAGCAAGAGCAAAAGTATTCCTTTAGTGAGATATTTACAACATCGTTAAAATATGGGACAGCGAAATCATCAAAACTTAGACAAATGGAAGACAAGTTGGGAAAAGCTATTTATGAAACTTGAATTGCTATTTTATAAAAGAAACTAATCAGTCACCCTATGCTGTGACTTTAGCTCCTTCTTCAAGGATCAGCTTTGTCCCTACTCTCTCCATTCACCGCCTGCTCTCCAGCTGCCCTGAATCTCTCCTTTCTCTGTACTCCTGTACTTCTCGCCACTGTATCATTTTTTTCAGTATTTACATACTTCAGTATGTTGCTTTGCAGGGTTATATGTATTGAATAGATGCCCTGTCTTCACACATTGATGGTTCAGCTATTAAAGATAGAGAAATGCCTACTATCCCATACCTCCACTTGCTCTTTGTATTTTAGCATTCCAGTAACATTTTGTTGATTAAATAACAATATTAGAGAGTTCACGGATTTAAAGCAATGTGTGCTGCTCCCCTTTCTAGTATTAGAGCCTAATACTCATGGAGGAGTATGTCTTGAGAGGAAAGTAGCAGGAAAAGAGGCATCTGCTTTATTTATTTTTTAATTCCAATAATTACTGGGATCCTTCTGAATGTAGATTTAAGAGAATTTGCAAAAATTATACTTTTGAGAAATTAGAAATTTCTTTGGGACATTTAACATAAAAAATTTAGAATTACCATTGGATTACTGTGAGCAAATATATCTTAATTGGTTAAAATGCATCCAAAAATGGTAAAGAGAAATGGCAATATTTGGGATTCTCCAGGAGGGACTTGAATTATTTCTTGGCTAGAATTAGATGTTCAGCTTAGAATAGATCTTTAGCTGTTTTGGTGAAGGGAAAAGGAGAAAGCATGTCCCAAACACATGGGACTGTCACTCTTAAACAACTGGAGGTAGGAGAAATCTGGGCCATAGATTTCACCCAATTCAGAAATAAAAGTGATCTTATTTACACCCATAGGCAAAGGGCATCTGTACTCTTTCCCAGGGAATGTTCGAACATATCTCTTTGCAAGGACTGGAAAGTTAGCTTTGGGTTCAAGTGTATGATTCTGTGCGTGTGGGTTTACTCACTGGGCTTCTGTTTATGCATCTGTAAAATGAGATTAACAGTAGCCAATAAATATCCATGGAGTGCTTAAGTGCGAGGCACTTTTCTAAATGCAGAATATCTAGGAGTGAAGAAACCAGATATGTTCCCTGTCCTCATGGGGTTTAGGATCTAGTACGTACCTCACAGAGTTGTTGGATTAAGTGCATATAGACTATCCCACATGAGGTTTTAGTGGATGTTAGCAGTGATGATGGCAGTGATAACGGTGATGAAGATAGTGATAAGGACGTGTTTCATAAATGAAAGGTCCCCAAGATTCTCTCCCAAAATTCTAATGGGAAGAGAAGTTCAGTATAGTCTTGGTATTAGTTGAGACTGTCACTGGTTCTAAGAAAGTAAGAGATATAACAAAGTACCTCGATCTAATCTCTGTAGAAGCTAGAATCCCCCTCTTATAATAAAAACCCAGTATGTAATGGCAAGGAATTCCATATGCAGCAGCAAAATATGCTGAGAATTGCAGAAAGAAACTTTTCTACGCTTGCCCAGAATAATGTTGAGTTTTCCCAAAGGAAATGCCTACTTTCTTCTGTTAACCCAAAAAAATACCTACCTCTACCCTCTTTCTAAACTCCACACATTCAGCATAACGTCTGTTAGGAGTAAACTCCGACCTGAGGTCTCTAACATTTGATGAAATTATTTGTTTAATGATACATATTAAGAAGACAGGCAGGGGTTGGAATGTCAAGTCCAGTTCTTGCCACTTTTTGCTCATGGATTGCATTTCTCTAACCTAGGTTAATAAGCAATGTCCATGCTCTGTTTTGTTGTGTGTGCTAAGATTAGCATTAGCCAATTTAATTTGACCTAAAAACTTGCACTTTAACTATAGGTTCCTAACTTATCCTAAATTATAACTATTGAGTTTGGCTGTCTGAGCTTTCTGCTTTCCATTGAAATACTCCTCCCCATCTTGCCCCTGTGGCTATAGAAACAGTTATTTACGTAAATGTGTTTGCCTTAATGGGTGACACTCAGGGAAAGCATTGGGGAAAATGGGAAAAAAGCTTTCCAATCTGTGCTTAACATTAAACCAGTAGTTTTGTAAACCAAGAGCTAGGTTCATTGTTTTATTTAGAATCTGAAGCTAAATTTGCATTGAACTTTTAGAAGTGAAAGGCAACTACCTTTTCTTTCATAAAATTTTAATTTCACCTACTCTTAACATTAGGACATATCTGAAGGAGTTATTTAAAAAACAATACTTGTTGTATGCATTCATCTCGTGAGAGAACACAATAAAGAAAGGCCACTGGTAGTGTGAAGAAAGAGAAATATTGCTTGAACAAGCTAATTCCACTAGTTAAATTTGTCAAAGAAAAGGTGAGCTAATGTAATTCCCTTTTATAATATTCCCTGTAAGAAAAAGTTACTCATTTTATTCGTTTGACATTTCATAGTAACATTCATTTTTAATGAAAAATATTCCACAGGGTTATTAATTAAAGGGAATGCAAGAAGAGAGATCTGTCATTTAAAAAGAGAGCAACTCATGAATGAGAGGAAGTCTCCAGTCAAAACTGCAGCTCTGTGAACTTCCCTCAGGATTGCTTGGTGGCTGGGCACCCATGTGACCCTCCGCCTCTATCCTGGATGGCACCTGTGTCATCTGGGCATGGATGCTTTTGCATCAAAGCTTTGGTAAACTTGGAGTAATAGCCCCTTGAGCTTATTGCTTGACTCTTTGATTATGCTTCTTATTTTGGGTTCATTGTGCTCACCAAATTGTAAACTGCTTGAAGTAAAAGATTGTGAATAATATAATGATAGCACCTAGAGGAGAATTTTGTGCTGTACGGTTCAAAAAAAAGTTTCACAGGAGAGTGAATCAATATTTGAGTGCCTCCTATTTACAAGAGGGCTGAATATAGTTATTTTACATGGATTTATGTTCTCCTGGCATAAAGCATAACTGGAAGAAGGGGTTAAAGAGGCTAGTATTGTTTAATTTGTTGAAGATAAGTTAATACTATAAAAATATCTGGAACATAGCAAGGTCATGAGAAACTGTAACACATATTTTCCCTTTGATGAGTACATACTTCCCTCCCACCTTTTGGAACTTCCAGTCTTTCCTCTATCCTCACTCCCTACACCTTTGTCTCCACATAGCTCTCTGGGGCTTAGAAATAGCCACTCTTCTGCCAAGTCTGACATCTATCTTTTGGGGCATTGTGGAAGTGCAAGGGATACAAGATAGAGTATCCTTATGTTCAGTCCATATTTGGAACCAACTGAGAGATCAAAATACGACTATTACTAAGAAAGCTGATGGGAATACATACCTTTAGGGCTTTATCAAGTGTACCTTATGGCATATTAGCCCTGAGCCAAGACTATTTACCATCCCAGCACTGGTCTGGCTGGGGAACCTGCTCTGATATACTCATGCCTAAGTCCATAAGCCCAAATGCTCTATCTCTGTAGGAAGGACTCCTTACAAAGGGAAGAGGAAATGGACAGGCTCCACTTCTTTTTCCAACCTCACAAAGCAGAGGTATCACTCCTTTTCTGGGAAGAAGGAAGTGAAAGATGGAGGAAAATGTTAGGAATATTTGCCTTGTAGAAGTTCCTTTATTTGGATACATACTTATTCTCTCCCCTAGTGAGTGCAAGTGGAATCACAGTACTTATGAATCATTTATAGCGTACAGGCATAACATACATATGCATAAAATGTGTAACATTTATAACATGTACAACTTATATATATATTTTTAACATGTATAAAATTTATAGCAGATATATAAACATATAAAAATCCTATATATGTATATAACACAAATATTTTATAGTGTAATACATATATTACATGTTATATATGTGTATTTGCACTCTAAAAGACCATTCAATCTCTACCAATGGAATTCCAGGCAAAGGGATTATGACCTGTAGCAAAGGGCTACAGGTAACATGGAGGAGATGCCACGTGGCCATGAACATTTGGGGGGATGATTTAAATCAGATCATACAGAAAAGTAAGGATTGTGGACTAAGTACACCAGAATCAGTTGGATGTTTTATCAGGTTGCAGATGCTTAGGTCCCACTTCAGACACTAACCCATAGTTAGCAGGTTTGGAGGGGTAAGGATTCACTCCAGGTGATTCACGTGAACAGCAGGATTGGAACACTATTGCCAAAGCAGCAAC